ATTAAATGACAACAAAAAAAAAACTTTGGCAAGTGTAGCTCGCTAAATCTCATTTCTGAATAAACAGAAACTTATTCAATAATCCCGGCACTGCCAAGTGCCCCGCTAAAGCAGAGCTGGCAGCAGCAGTGTTGTTTCGCCTGCAGGGGATGAGCACATTTCTCTTTATTTGTCAGGACTGATCACGCGCCAGTCCTGGCAACCACCGGATGAACAGCACAGAGGGGACGACACGCTTAAAAGAATGATTTTTCAACCATAATCAACCCACACAGAGTCCTGCTAATCACAACAATTTTAGCAGCATTGGAACTAATGATAACAAATTTGGATGTTGCTCCATTTCATTTATTTATTCGTGTAATTTCACCCGGCCTCGGCACAGCAGGGAAGCAGCGAGGCTGTGCTGGTCATCCACCCCCCAGAGCGGGCTGCCCAGTATTGTTAGAAACCTCCTGAGCAAGCACCACCCATCTTAGCACAGAGAAGTGTTCTGCAAGTCCTTTTACTTGGTGACTTAAATGTTCACAGTTTGTTTAAAGGAAGCCAAAGTCTTCAGCACTGCAGAAATCTTTTCAGCCTAAGGAAAATAACAAGGTGCTTGGAGGCATAGTCATTGAAGGTGTGTCTTATTGTGTTGCGCAGTACTGTTTGCCACCCCTTACATGAGTGTTTTCAGAAGTATGCACGAAATGTTCCTTCAAAGGAATCAACAGCATTTTTCTTGGCTTCGTGCTCATCTATTCGAGGGCGCAAACACCTTGCGTGTTATCTCAGTATACAGGTCTGACTGTTTGCCTGCAGACACATTTGTCACTTATTTATGAAGTATCGGATGAGTTATGGGACCTCCAGATACAATTTGCTCCACTCCTAAAATTGCCGCTTAGTTAACATGAATCACACAACACTGATTAGATTAGCATGAAATAAAGCAATGTCCTCGTTAACCTTGTTTTTTTATGTGTACAACATGTTAATGAAATATAGAAGAATTAGAGACCACTATGATTCAAAGTACTTGTTGGGATATTTAATATTTTCGTTCAATCAAAACAAAAAAGTCAGTCTTTATCTATTTAAATGTAATACACTATTGCTACCAGTAAATGGCAGTAAAACACTGAGGGTGCCGAATAGCCAATAACATTTAACCAGGAAGAAGAAGCTGGCAGACGGAAGTTACGTCACTGCAGCCTCAACGTGATAACAGCAAAGGTGAGTCCTGACTTATGAAATTAACTTATGTGACAATGAAATTATCAGAGGCTTTGCCGCCAGCCTGCCGTTTTACCGGCTAATAGAACCGAGGCGTGGCTTTAGCTTCAAAGAGACTCCGAATGGATCGTAGAGGTTGTGTTTAAGCTCACTCAAGGTTTCCCTGACATGTAACTGTGAACAGAACATCTCTCAATTAACGTGTGAAATGGCTGTCACGGAATCAGTAATAACACTCCGGATTTAAACATGTTCATAAATGTATTTTTTACGACACGGTGCCTAATTTGTTAGCGCATAGCTTACAGTCAACAACAGGCCAAACTCCGTAGCTAAATCTGGAATTAAATTCCTGCTCCTGCTGCATGAGGCACACGGGGCCATATAGGCTCTACTGTAGATACATCTTAGACAATCAAATGTAGAGTTTTGATTCGGCTGACTCGAAATCCGTGAAAATCATCAGTGGAGCCTTTTATTTACGATGCAATAGCAGTCGACTTGAACTTGAGCCTAAAGATAACATTTAAAAGTTGTGTTGAGTTCCTTATTGATACACAATTCTGCTACTTTCCGTTTTAAACCCATGCTAAATTCATTTGGTTCTTTTTTTCTTTCTTTCTTTGGTAAGTGCAAAGGAGGACATACATGCCGTGCATTTAATTGAATGGTGCTTGATCTACTGGTAATGACACAGTATGATCAATAAAAAGCATCTTTTTTGTAGCATAGTCTTTTTGATAACTTAGAATCTTCATTCTTCAAGTAGATATACTGATTCTGAGGAAGAATAAGAGTGTTTGAGCTTGTAAAGGATAAAAGTCTCGTGGAACCATCATTTAACCACAAGAGGGGGCTGGTGACTCAAATATAATTGATATTCAGAGATAGTGTTTCCTAGAAAAAGTTACTGTTTCAAGCTAAATTGTATTTGTATTTTTCCTCATGAAGCGCCTGGAAACCAAAGCGGTGTGCAGTCATGTGGCCTGTGGTTTGGACTGCGATGCGAACCTACGCACCTTACATCACCTTCCCGGTGGCCTTTGTGGTCGGGGCGGTGGGCTACCACCTGGAGTGGTTTATCCGAGGGTCCCCCAAAGCCCGGGAGGACGAGAAGAGCATCTTGGAGCTGAGGGAGGAGAGGAAGCTGCAGGAGCAGCTGGGTAAGGACGGCACCCAGGTGCTCAGCCTGAAGGAGAAGCTGGAGTTCACGCCCAAGGCGGCCCTGAACAGGAACCGCCCAGAGGAGAGCTAACCGGTGTGGGAGAGACACACCGCGGGGAGGACGGTGCACCAGGAGCAAAGAGAGCTACCCGGAGGGAAAAATCACTCAGACCTGCCATTCACCTCAGCAAACTCCTCCCTCATGACCACCTGAGAGCACCAGCCCTCCTGGGTTAGCAACAGACACTTTTTAGTAGATTGAAAAAAAACATCTTGTGTCTCGTTTTAAGTCAGAAAAAGCCTGTATGACGTTTTGCACTCTCGATTCCACTGATGGTTCGTCTGCAGCCTTATAACTGCATATTTATTGAGCCTTTGGTTGTGTAACGCGTGAGCCGATGACAAGGTGTTATTTAGTTTGGTTGTCCGCGCTCGCAAAGAAATAAATATTCTTGCATGTTTTGGCAGCGTGACGCAGACTTCGGGACATTGTTAATACCTCAGTCGGCTCGTTTGCCATTTCAAACCGAGGATTTTTAAAAGTGCAACTCTGTCACAAAGCGTTTGTCCTTTAATCTTGTTTGTATGTTAAGAAAGGGTGACTGACCGTGCAAAAGAAAGACAGCTCTTTGTGGTTCTTCTTTTAATGTAATCTCATGCACCCTCTGACGTGGCAGCGGCCTGGGAGGTTTTCTCATCAGCTGTAAGCTGGCAATGCGCATTGGTAGATGCTCATTATACTTTCATTTTAGAAAGTCTGTATGGTTAGCACACCAAAACTTTGGAATACGTGTTATAAAAATATGTGACAAATAAAGTGTGGGAGGTGAGAAGACGAGTAATAGGCTGTGCCTGGTTTTTATTTGAGGTAATGGTCATGAATCATCTGCTGAAGATCTTGTATTTGAATGTCCTAAATAATCAAAAACTATAAGTATCTGGTCTCTTCTTGTTTGTTGCCACATTCAAATGCTATTTGTGGGAAACTACTGTGTTTGTCTGGAATTTTTGACCAGAGTTGTGTTCTGTGAATTAGATTTTTTCACACAATTCTTCATAAAAAGGAAAAGGAGTCCATCTAACAAGAATAACTTCCTTACTGAAAACCTTGAGATTTCTTAAAAGCATAAATCTTTCACAGAGCTTAGTTCTGCTTTTCATTCAGACGTTGCTATTAATATCTTCATGGTCACAATCTTTTTCCTGTAGTGTCTATCTCCTCTTGTCATTTAGAAAGATGTTTTATATTGATTCCAAAGTGAAGCCGAACTGAATCAAATCACCTGTAATGAGACTAATGTCCATGAATCCACGCGTGTGTAATCCCTTGTGTAAATGTGGACATCAAACACTATTTGCCTAATATGGTTCCACTCTTTCATAATCCTGTTTTATTTCAGATAAATAACACAGTTTGATCTACTAATCATTCCTCTGATGTCTCAGAAATATCGGGTGGATGTGAATTAAGATGAAACTAAAAGCCCAATAACAATTTGCTGTGATAAATCTGCCACTATACAAACAGATTGGAGTTATGCACTTATATTAATGAGTTGGGATGCAGAGGACGGTCTACTGACCGGTCTGTCAGCTTTGATACACATCTTATGTCAGTGTTTTATACGAGTAAATATTGTTTCAAGGCATGAATCCAAATGATTTTGTCCTTAGACATTTTTTACTGTTTCTTCATTTTCATTATCAGTGTTGTACATGTTAATGCTCTTAATAATTAATTAAGGTTATGACTAACAATTTTGGAATTTATGTCTTAATAACACTCTCAAAGAGCACAGCACCATGTGACAGGAAATAAAGATTGGACAGAAACCTGCTGCCACAGATGAGCAGAGCTGGTCTGAGAGGGAATGAACAGACACACACTCTGCACCGACTCTTCAACATCTTTATTCAGAACTGGAAAACCCCGCCCTCACACACTTCTACCATCAAATATCAACAGGTGCAGATTTCCATAAAAAAATATGTCAAAAAGTAGGAAAGTGGACAGCCAGACCCATAGAGCCGGTCGGTGGACCTACAAGTGCTTTCACGTGAGTCCCAGCGTGGAGTGCAGGTCAGCTGCCCTGTTTCAGAGGAACTGGACACACTCATAAAATACAAAGATTCCCAGTGAAGACTTGGTCAGCGCGGTCCACCGTCCGAGTGGGCCCCCACGGACCCACCCACTCATGATGGGTCCCTGTGGCTGACGGTGCCTCCAGACAGCTGCCAGCCATTGTCCCTTTAGAAGGCGTCCTGCAGATTTAGAAGCCGAGCTACAGCCGCTGAGCTTTAGCCGCTAAGCTACAAAAGCTGAGCCACAGAAGCTGGGCTTCAGCAGCTGGGCTTCAGCAGCTGGGCTTCAGCAGCTGGGCTACAGAAGTTCCAGCTGCCACCGCTGGCTGGGCCTCTCCTCGTCCTCTGGCATCACCACCACGTGGTCCCTGTCGTAGGCTTTCCCACCTGAGGGACAGGTCCAGAAAAGCATTACCGCCCGTCCTCTCTGAGAGACATTTTTAGAGACAGGATCTGGTTCTTAAGGCGGCCTAGAGCTGGTTCCTGTTGCTTTGTGGCCCCCCTGAGCTCCCACCCAACCTAACCCACTGTAACCATGTCCTGTGGTGGATCCACATCAAGTGTCCAGGAAGTCAGGCCTGGATCCTGAAAAGTCTCCTGCTTACATGCTGTTCGAACCCCTAAAAGCCCCTCATCCCCCCAAACACTAATGAAACCCGTTAGACGTGTGGCCGATGTCCCACCTTTCACATCCAGCACCATGCCGGAGAACACCAGGCTTCTGATGAGCCCCTGCATCTGGGCGGTCCAGGTCTGGATGGGCTGCCGGGTCTCGGTCCACAGAACCACTTTGGCTGCCGGCTCCAGGTTTCCTATCACCTGCAGGCTCATGGTGGGAGACGCCTGCAGCACAGACACAGGGCACAGAGACCAGAGTGTGTTTGGAGGAATGGATTCAGACTGGACCGTCTCAGGGATTTTTTCAGGGATGGTTCTCCCTCCCAGATGTGCGAGCGTTCAGGCCAGAGCTGGTCCCACCGACGTGGTTACCTTGTTCTTGATCAGCCCGTCCTGGTAGAACCAGATGTCGCTGAGGGGCTCCACCTCCGCTGCCGCCACCACCCGTCCCGACTTCATCTCCTCCACGCCGCCCTGGACGGACAGGAGGTGGCCACTCTCCATGTTCCTCACGTTGAAGAAGTGGCGCTTCTGCAGGGGGGAGACGCAGACAGGCGGTTATTGACCTTTGAGGTCTGGGGAACATCTGGAGGGTATTTCGGCTCTGAGGGAGCTCCCATGATGCACTCCTCCACCCTCTGGCCTATCTTTGATGGGCCTGTGGCCCAACAGGAGAAGCAGCTGGACTGCATCTCTCCAGTCCAGCCCCACGCGTCAGTGGGGCTCCTGTACCCAGACCAACCTGTCTGACGGGGTACATGGACCCGATGGAGTCCAGGGAGCTGAACTTGGGCCAGTTGGTGATTTCGATGGGTTCCAGCAGGAACTGGCGCCCCCTGTAGTTAGTGTGCTCACATAGCACCCAGCTGGAAGCAGAGAGAGAGCTTCATAGTTAGAGGGGCGAGCTATGGCCGGCGGAACACCCCCCATCACGGCCACTGACCAGCCACTGTTGACTCTGACAGACAGGACGTGGCTGTTGAAGCCCTCCTGGACCAGGCTGAGGACCTCGCCGTCCGCGGTGATCTCTCTGCCCTCCAGGCCCTCCAGGCCGAACAGAGAGATGGAGGGAACCGAGAACATCTGCAAGCACAGTGAGGACGGTCACGGTGGGGCAGGAGGCTGGATCTCCCGCGCCCTGGACGGTCATCCTCACCAGCTGCACAGGCCTGACGGAGCGGATGGAGCAGCTGGGGGGGCAGCCCATGCTGGTCAGGCTGGGGTAGCTCCCCTCGGACAGGACGAACATGTTCCCGGAGAAGTGGAGGTCGTCGAACAGCACCCAGCTGGGACAGAGAGGCTCAGGGTTAGGGCACCGAGAGGTTTAAGAATGCTCGTGCTGCCGCCTCCTGCTCACCTTCCTCCCACCACACGGCACGACCTGCTCAGGAACTTTGTCTCCAGAGCCTCCTGGTTCTGGTCAAAGATGAGACTCTCCCCATGGAAGCCGGGCTCAGAGTAAAGGATGATCTGACAGGGGGGGAAATTACGGATTAGAAAAAGACTCCTTTGGTTCTGAGCCAAGTTAAAAGACCCTGTGCGGCCCGTACAGATGTTCAGTTTACACAGATGTTCAATTTCCACAAATGTTTAGTTTACACAGATGTTCAGTATCCACAGATGTGCAGTTTAAACAGATGTTTAGTTTAAACAGATTTTTTGTTTTCACAGATATGCAGTTTAAACAGATGTTTATTTGAAACAGATGTTCAGTGTCCACAGATGTGCAGATTAAACTCACCTCCTGTCGGTTCCTCGCACTGTCCAGTGGAGCCTGAAAGAACAGAAGGAGGTCAGTCATGCGGGTTCTCAGAGGCAGCGCTGAGCGTCCGGCCGGGCCTCACCAGTAAGACGGGCTGGACCGAGCAGATCCGGGTCCCCTGGGAGCCCCAGTCCGCACAGTTATGGTAGAGGCCTTTCTCCAGCACGTACTGGTCCCCAGAGAAGTCCACATGGGAGTAGGCTATCCAGCTGTGGGGAGCGAGAGCAGCCGTGAGGTCAAGCGGAGCCCTGTGAGCGGGAGGGGCCAGAGGAGCCGCACTTACACCCCGCTGAGCACGTGGATGGAGCGGGTGGAGGTCTTGTATCCAAACAGCTCCACGTCGGGAATGGCCTCCGTCACCTCGAAGGTGTTCTCCTCCAGCATGCCCTCCTCCTCCTCCTCCGGCTGCTCAAACATCACCATCACCGGGTCCGTGAGGTCCTACGGGGGCAGGCACACGGTCAGTGGGTCAGCGGGTGGTGACCTGTGGGGGCTCCGAGCTCCACCAGAGCCTCGGCCGCCCCCTTTTATGGACCAGAGAGGGCTCTTCCGGCCGCCTCGCGGCTCCGGTGGACTTACGGCCTGGATGAGCCTCGCCGAGCGCAGCTCCGAGTCGCAGCCCCCCCACACCCTCCAGTCGTGGTACTCCCCCTCCTCCAGCAGGTACTGGTGGCCCCGGAAGCCCTCCTTCTGGTAGCCCACCCAGCTGAAGCACACACAGGCAGGAGGCATCACTCTGCTGCCCTGTGGGCACTAACACTCCCCGCTGAAATGGGGGGGCCACTCACATTCCCCCCTGGACCTTCAGGGAGCCCACGCTGTGCATGAAGACGCTCTGCTGGCTGTGGGTCCGGGTCATGAAGTCCTTCATGTTGCTGCTGATGGTTCGGGACTTCCCTGTGAAGTAGGGCTTGTCGTAGATCACCATCTGCAGACAGAGAGCAGCAATAAGGCCCTGATCGTGTAACCCAAGCCCTGACCCCAGCCCTGACCCCCCCCCCCTCCTCACCTGGGGCTCACTGGTGTTCTCCACTCTGGGCTCCCCCTGAAGAAACACAAACCAGAGGCTTTGACTTGAGGCTTTGACTTGAGGCCTGACGCAGCCGGCCGTCAGTCAGAGACACTCACCACTTTGAGCGGGTGCAGCGAGGCCACGTAGGGCTGCTCCACCCCCCACGCCGCCGGAGTGCTGTACCCCCCCACCTCCAGGACTCGGGGGACGCCCTGGAAGAAGGGCTGGGAGAACACGAGCCAGCTGCCGGACAGAGGAGAGGCAGAGTGAGACCGGCCCCGGGGGCAGCTGCGCAGAGTGGGGGTGGGGGGGGGGGGGGGGGGGCCAGGTCACTCACAGGCCCGCGTTGATGATGATGGAGTTGGCTTTGATGGGGAAGCCGAAGATGCGGGCGTCCTCACTGGTGTCCCGGAACACCACCTTCTTGCCCTCGGCGTTTTCCT